AATAAAAAAAAAAAAGTTGGAAACAAATATATAAATGATATAATGACACTCCTGGGAAACTAAAAAACAATGTTTACAGTATAGTATTAAAAAATACAACTATTCTGAAACTAAACTATGCATATGTTAGTAACATAATCAAAAGTAATTCTGAGCCTGAGCAAGAGAGAGACTCCATCTCTACAAAAAAAATAGGAAAATTCAGCTGGGCATGGTGGTGTATACCAGTAGTTGAAGTTACTTAGGAGGCTGAGGTAGGAGGAGTACTTGAGCCCAGTAGTGTGAGGTTGTATCCCAAACAATAGAGTGAGAACTCAGTGCCTCCCGCAAAAGGATTCTGGATAAAAGCAACAAAAATGACCATGTGCCAGATTAAATTTAAGAATGTGGAAAAGTTTAGAAGAACTTAAACATTAATGAGGATGCTAACTGAAAAATGTTTAGACCTTTGAGTTCTCTTAATGATGCCAAAAAATGTTAAATGGCTAACTTTGGTGCATGCCAGGAAACCCGTTCTTCATTATGAAAACTCATTATTAAAGGAAAACAAGTTTTTAACCTCCTTATGCAATATAAACAGGCACTGCATAAACAATTAGCAGATGGAACAAAGTTTCTCTCTAAATTATGACAGCTAATACATGTAAGCAATGACAGACTAGCACTGTTTTGAATCTGCAAGGAAAAGATGACCATAGGGTGGTGCCTGGGGCTCAGTGGGCAGGGCGCCAGCCCCATATACTGAGGGTGGCGGGTTTAAACCCGGCACTGGCCAGGCTGCAACAAAAAAACAGCTGGGCATTGTGGAGGGGGCCTGTAGTCCCAGCTACTCAGGAGGCTGAGGCAAGGGAATCGCCTATGCCCAGGAGATGGAAGTTGCTGTGAGCTGTGTGACACCATGGCACTCTACCATGGACGATAAAACTGTCTCTACAAAAAAAAAAAAAAACGAAAAGAAAAAGAAGAGATGACCATAGGCACTGAGTGGCAATAACAGCTAATGGCGCAAAGAGCCATCACCAGATACTAGGTGCTTCATGATGAAAGAAGATTACAGCACCCAGGAAGCAGTAAAGACCTAACTAAAAGAAAAAGAAAAAAGAACTCAAAGCTAGGATAACCACCACCTTTCAGGAACTACAAAGGGCATACGATCATGGTACCTATACTCCCATTACCCAATGTGTGGTCCACAGACCAGCAGCATGAGCAATATGCGTACAGGGGTTAAATATGAGAAGAAAAACAAGGTAAGAGGAAAATGTAGTGAAGATCAAATTCATGGTGAGATCTTTTGTATTCTTTCCTTAAGGCTTTGGGCCTAAACCTTTGCTGGGAACTTTCCAAACAGTTTAGTAGTGTGCCTACTCCTTGCCCAGCTGGACTGTTCTTTTATACGAATGGCTTGCTAGGGGCTTGGCGTGGTGGCTCACGCCTGTAATCTCAGCACTTGGGAGGCTGAGATGGGTAGATTGCCTGAGCTCATGAACTCAATACCAGCCTGAGGAACAGCGAGACCATGTCTCTAAAAAATAGCTGGTGTTGTGGTGGGCACCTGTAAGTCCCAGCCAAGAGAATCTCTTGAACCCAAGAATTTGAGGCTGCTGTGAGCTAAGATGCCACAGCACTCTACTTAGAGCGAACAAGTGAGATACTGTCTCCAAAAAGGAAAAAAAAAAATGGCTTGCTGTTGCCAGACTATTTCTATTTCTCCCTCTCCTTTGTAGTGTTTTCTTGTTTTACTTCTTCCCTCACAATCGTCA